TACAGTGACCATACGTCCTTTATTTAAGAGGACAGTCCTTTATTTCGCTGCTCTGTCCTCTAACTTTATTTATTTTATAAAATAGGCATTTTGTCCTTTATTTTGTAAATTTGACGCAAAGTTTAAAAAAATTTTTAATAATATATTGAACAAGTTACCCCCATACAAAGTCGAAGTTCGATAAAGCTACTGTTATCATCAACATGCCCCACCAAGAGCATCTCAGGTGGCTAGAGGCCACAGCTATCTACAACGCCGGCCAGCTAACCACGTGCGTTGACCAGAAGGAAGAGCTGACTCTGCCTGGCAATCACTGTTGGATGCCAACCCGCAACTTCCTCCTCCACCGCACGACCGCACATGTCAGAAAGGACCCACTTCATCTGAATGACACCTGATTCCAACAAATAGAATACACTCTGTCCAGGAAATTCTAGTCGACCTGAAGAAGAGCAAAGAGATTGCTCGAAAACGTTTGTCAACAGCGATATAAACTTGTGAATTTTATAAGGTATTTTTTTTTTTATTTTCTTTCTTCGATATGTCCTTTATTTTCCTCCAAAAAATATGGTCACCGTAATTATATACAATGCCTAGGCATTCTATAGAATGCCGGATTTCAAACTTTGCTGGTAACATATATATATTTTTCAATATATTTATTTTGCTTGTGCAAAATAAAGAAATAATTTTTAATGATACAATAGCCACAATTATTATTATAAAAAGTTTTCAATAGGCTTAACATCTAAAATTCAATGCGAAGTGACATGCAACGAAGAAAAATTTAAACCTGGGATATATTAATAATGTATTTTTTTGTACATAATCTTTTATCCGAAAAATCAATTTTTCAAACAACCCCAGTCCCCAATTAATTCAGATAATCAGTGCTCTACTGTATATATATGGAACTACTTACTATGTATCTCTGTAGCTAAGCAACAAAAATTCTTCAAAAAGTAATGATTGAATTAAAAACAAACTAAAAATTCAAACGCGTCACACATCATCATATGACATATTTGAATTTTTAGTTTGTTTTTAATTCAATCATTACTTTTTGAAGAATTTTTGTTG